AAGCAGTGGTATCAACGCAGAGTACTCTGCACCCTAAACACAAAATTTAGCAGGGATACCCTGTCCTACTTCTATGAGCTTTCTCCTAAACTGACGAAATCCATCAATACGGATATCTACACAAGATTTATTATCAATATCAAGAACAAGCTTAGAAACACACCTTATATCTATGTGAGCTTCTATGTGAAAAAGGCATATTTTGACATGAGAAATCTCTTCAACACTATGGAAACCATTATCACCAATGTCAAGGACAATCTGCCTGTCATAGATATTATCACAGATGGCGAATACACCCTGCTTCCACCTGATAACGACACTGAGATTATTTACTTCGATAAAATAAAGGAAAGTATAAGACTTATCAATCAGGCGTACCAGTACACCGCACAGGGGAAATATACCGAGGCTATAGCGGTGGCTGCCGAAGCTATCAAGCTGAATCCACATAATGCTTATGGATATAATAATCGTGGCTATGCCCGCTCCCTACTGCTGCGTGGACACAGTAAGGAAGCTGCTGACGATTATGCCGAGGCCATCAGAATTAACCCACAGGAAAAAGCCTTCTACTTCAATGCAGGAGATATCGAGCTGTGTGCTGGAAATTTCAGTGCAGCCAAAAAATTCTTTGAGCAGGCACTGACCATAGATGAAAATTACGAGGATGCAAAGAAAATGCTGGCTTTAGCCGAGAAAAAAATGTTATCATGAGATTTTGCATTTGGTGATTAAGTCAAATAAGATATTTTTCGATAATAATAATAGACGAAATTGTAAACAATTTAGATTTTTGATAGATAAGGGTTGATAGATATGATTATAGCGACTAATATGGCGGCTATGACAGTGTTAAATGAGTCAAACCGTCAGTTAAGAGGTGCAAATCAGGCATCTCGTGAGCTGTCATTGGGTGAAAGAGTAACTAGTGCTGAGGATGACGCATCCACCTACTCTATCTCCGAGAAAATGAAGACTAAGGTAAAAGCACTTGATCAGGCAAAGGCTAACTCTGCCAATGGTCAGAGCATGATAGATACTGCATCACAGGCTGTAGACCAGCAGGTAAATATCATGAAACTGGTTAAGACTATCGCTTTGAAGGCTACAGATGATACCTACAACGATAGTGATAGAAAGATACTGCAGAAGGAAGTCAGCCAGATGCTGGATCAGTCTGAGCAGATCGCTACTACTACTAATTTCAACGGAATACAGCTGCTGGATCAGAGCTTCTATGTACGAACAGACCGTACCTTCGACCCTACTACACCATATCACCCTAATAGTGTAAATCTCACTGGTAAAGATGTAGAGGTATACGATGTACCACAGGGGACTTATGAACCTGTTACCAAATTATACTCTCCTACTGAATATATTGGTGCAGGCAATTACAGCAATATAGGACAAATACATGATGGTGATTGGGTATGGGTATGGGACAAAAACAACGGTCAAACCAAAGCAGATGGTCACTTAGCACAGATTACCACGGATTCCACTGGTAAAAAATCTGCAGGTGGAATTGAAGTTATTATAGATCCACCACGCGGTGTAAATAGTAATATTGCAAAGTTTAACCATAAAGAAATAACACCTCTTCCAACGCCATTAGATAATCCCAATGTCCCAGCTGTTGGTCCATTCTACACGACACAAAAAGAAGCGACTCTTATCGGCAATCCTTCTATCGATCCTGTAGATAAATATGAATGTGTAAAAATCCCAGGCACTGCCAACACACCATCACTTTTCATTCCTGGTACAGGTTCCCTTACCGAGCTAGATGTATCTAAAATTACAATGCCAACTACTGCCGAAAAACTTGATGGTGTAGGTTTTACTATCGACTTTGGCTCTCAGAAGCAGTATGTAGCTTTGAGATTTGATGCAGAAACATCCGAAAGCAAGTTCTTTGATGGTGATGCCAATACACCTCTCTGTTACAACATAGGTTTGAAGGGGACACCGCTTAATAGTACTGCTGATCTTATAACTGCTATCTTCAACGGCATCTCCAAAACTAACGGTATGCATCAGGGCTTCCTTCCATCTACTAATACCATTGATCTTACTGATAGGCAGGATATAAAGCTGAATTATATCCCCGATACTGGAAGACTGACACTCTCTACTGACAGTAGCAAGATGATGACTCTGAAAAATGGTACTACTGGATCTGTACATAAGATAGACCTCTACAATCCACATCAGCTGTTAGCATTGCAGACCAGTGATACCAGTGGTCAGTATAATAATATAAAGCTGCCTAACACAACCCTTTCTGTGTTATATCCTACTGCTGGTGACAGATGGGATATCGAACCGGGGCCAGATGATTATCCAAACCCATGGCCTAACGAATATCATGGGTTGACCGCAGCGGAAAAGAAGGCTAAATTCAAGCAGGAAATTTGGCAATATGCTGTAAAGAGTTCTGCCATTGACCTTAACGACTGTGTTACTACCAGAGAAAAGGCAAATGACTTCCTTGATAGAACCGATCAGGCAATCAAGTATCTGCTGAATGCTAATACTACCCTCGGTGCACAGTATACCAGACTTGACTACACTCAGGACAATCTGGTAACAGAAACCGAGAATATCACTGCAGCTGATAGTGTTCTGCGTGATGCGGATATGGCGAAGTCAGCTACCAAGTTAGCTAAGAGTAATCTGCTGGCACAGGCAGCTCAGTCCATGCTGGCACAGGCTAATCAGTTACCTAACAAAGCTTTGGAAATGTTACAGGGCTAATACAATATGCTCAATATTGCAGACATCTACATGGTGTCTGCATTTTTTATTCCCTTTTTGCAAAGAAAAGAGCCAGTCCCGAAGGACTGACCCTAGATTACATATTGAAAGAAATTAGAAACTCATATTAAGCTGAATGTGACCAGACATGCCCTGACGCTTGCCAGTATAGCCATCTAAGCCCAAATCTACAGACCATCTATCATCTGCCTTATATGTCAGACCTGCCTGATATATTACAGTGCCACCTCTAAGGGATGGAGTTGCCAAGTCATAATTAAGTACAGTGTCATTTGCCTTACCGCCAAACTCATACTCAAAGCCTGCCCCCAGCTTAGTAGTCAGCTTATCACTTGCCTTCTGTTTCCACATAACGCCTAATCTTGCCCTATGACTGTTCATGCTGTCGAAGTGGAAGCTGTCAGTAGCAATTTCAAAATCCTTACCATTGTGATGGGTATAAGTATATCTGCCACTAACAGTTATCTCACCTGTGTCGCTTACCTTGAAATGCTTACCAACCTCAAACTGTGCTCCATAGTACGGTGTGGATACATCATAGCCTTCATAGTTAGAACCGCTGCTCTTAACAGCATGCTCCAGCTTATTCTTCATGCGGCCAACACGAATACCCGCCTCACCATACCAGCCATCGCCCATATCCTTACGAGCCATCAGACCAACACCATCATAGGTAGAATTACCATCACCACGAATAACCTCACTGCCAATATCATTGTGTGACGTGAAGTTACCAGTGCCATGCTCATAGAACACGCCCCATGTAGTGCCATTATCCAAAGTATTACCGAAGCCAGCCAGACCGCTCCAGCCATTAATCTTCACGTAGCTGCCAGTCTTATACTTGCTGGAATTGCCATACATGCCAGCAAAGGTCTTTTCACCATACTCACTGCCATTTATGGACTTACTATTGTGCAAGGACTCCAAAGAATCAAACAGAAGGTCACTGCCCTGATTTACAAAGGCTGTAACAGCAGCGCGGGACTCACCGATAACTAGTACCTGGTCATTACGCTCAACACTGTCTACTTTTGCCTCAATATTAAGGTTATAACCATTAGGGTCAACTTCATTACCGCTATCCTTGTCATTAGCAGGATCACCCATATACACGATAGCATCAGTACCTACAGCAGTACCGGAAACTCTAGTATCAAGCTTTATAACCGCTTTCTGAGCCACGCCTACGTTAATATTTATAGGCTTACTATTTACATTTAATTTTCCATTTGTTTCCCTAGCAGAAATAATGTCAGTATGGGCACCCTCTTTTATATTCTGCACATCTGCTGGATCTACAGTAATATTCTCTACAGTAATAGTTGTGCCATCAGTTCCTTCACCAAGAAGATTTAATTCGGATACACGAATCGCAGGTGAACCCCACTTCATATCTACAACCTTTATCGCATCAAAGTTGTTTATAGATTTAATGTAGCTATTCTCAACGCCTGCATTAGCTGTTCCCTCTGGTCTTTTCTCAGTATTCCAGCCCTGATTAATAACTAACGTATTATTTTCATGCTTACCTGTATTACCTGGATTATAACCATACAAATTAGCATTATACAAATTAGCATTATACAAATCAGCAGTGCCACTTACAGTAATAGTATTACCCGTGACATCTCCACTATTACTATATCCAGCATAAACGTCTACAGTTTCCTGAACAGGCTTACCTGCTTCATCATAAGTCAGAGAGCCAAATTTACCACCTGACAAATTGAGGTTACTGCCTGTTACACTGCCAGTATCGCTCATACCACCATAAACTGTACCTTTAATTGTACCACCAGATACTTCAACGGTACTGCCTGATACATCACCGCTGTCACTTGCACCACCAAAGATACTGCCAGAGATAGTGCCACCTTTTATAGTAGTTGTTGCTGTATCTACTGCATTATTTTCACTATAACCGCCATAGACAGAACCAGTAATAGAGCCACCACTCACCATAGCAGTTGTATTGGACGTAGTATCATTGATACTATAACCACCATAGGCATTATCAACAACTGCATTATCTTTTATCTCAACTGTAGTATTTTCAACTTTGCCACCTGTACTATAGCCACCATAGGTATTAGTTACTATACCACCTGATACTATAGCAGCACCAGCAGTTACAGCACCATTTTCACTATATGCACCATAGGCATTCGTTACTGTACCGCCACTGATTATGATACCATTGACTACAGTATCACCATCTGTATCATCCAAGTCAGCATTTGTAGTATATGCACCATAAGCATTTTCTACAGTACCGCCAGATATAGATACCGCATTATCTTCTAAGACAGCAGTCCCATCAGCAGAGTCATCCTTAGCACCATAAGCCTCTTCTACTGTACCACCAGTTATAGTCACAGTATTTTCAGATATAGTTGCTGTACCACCAGTATTACCAGACTGGCCAGCAACAGCTGTTTTAATCTCTGCGTTCTCTCCGATAGTGATAGTATTCTTGCTGACATCGCCATCGGCATAGCCACCATAAATTGTGGTATCTATTTTCAGTGTCTCAAAACCGCCAATCCACTCTGGTACTGTGTTTATATTCACATGATTAGATGTTGCTGTACCATCTAGTGACTTACCACCATAAATCTCGCCAGTTAACAGATATGTTTGAAGTATTACCCTGCTTATTAGCTATTGAAATAGTGTTATTGGTTGCTGCACCATGTTCTGTCATACCACCATAAACATTGACAGCTTCACCACCAGTAATAATAACTTTACCTAAATTAGCGTCACCTGCTTCACTATATACACCATAAGAATTAGTTACCTTACCGCCAGATACCTTAACATCATTAGTGTTGGTGCTAATAGCTGAATCATGTACTGCATTTTTGGTATACAAACCATAGGCGTTATCAACTGTACCGCCATTTACTTCCACAGTGTTACCTGCCACATTCAAAGTCCTGCTAGTGTCGCTTTCATCCTTAGCACCGTAAGCATTGACGGCACTACCAGAATTTACAATGACCTTATTGCTCAAAAGCTCATCAGCATCATCATACTTTGCTACAGCACCGACAACATCACCTGACACGGTCGCACTATCTATAGTAACAATATTACCACTCAGTTTAGCACCAGAACCCTTTGATAAACCACCTATAATATTTTTATCAAAAGTACCACTGCTATTTATATTTACTTTGTTACCAGATACTGTTGCACCAGCTCCAGTTGCAATACCAGCTATTATATCCTGATTTAATATACCATTATTCAAGGTTATGGTATTATTCTTAGCACCAGTAACACCCAGACCACCATAAACCATACCGCCAATTGTGCCACCACTAACGGTAACAGAACCATTGTCTGCACTAGCTTCTTTACTGTAGGCACCATAAACATTCTTTACAACAGTACCATCTTTAATTTCTACCTCATTCAGCTTGGTAGTATCGCCTGTTATAACCGCATTTTGGGTATACACACCATAGACATCATCTGAAACAGAAACAGTTGCACCATCAATTATTACCTTGTTGCTTTCAATATTAATGGTTTTGCCATCAGAAACATCTTTAACACCGTAAACAGTTGTAACAGTACCCTTTTTCAGATTTACAATATTACCTGAAATCTTGCTTGCACCAGCACCTTCACCACCGATAATTGTAGTTACAGTACCATTATTCAGATTTACAGTATTGCCTGAAATTTCACTTCCTGCATTACCTGTACCACCAGTTGCATTTCCGATAGTAACTGATGGTGGAGTTGTCAAACCAATATTTACTATATTATTCTTTGTAGTACCTGTGTCAGCTATACCACCCACAACAGATAAATCATCTTTAGATACTCCTGTTACATTTACAGTATTGTGGTCAACAACACCAGTATCAGTTTTACCACCTGCGATTTCTACATTTGTGCCTAATGTTCCAGCAGTCAAATCTACGGTATTATCTTTAACTTCACCAGATACACCCTGACCACCATAGATATTACCAGAAACATTGCCACCATTAAGCACGACACTAGAATTCTGTACATTGCCACTGCCACTGTAGCCGCCTATTGCATTGCCTGATACGCTACCAGTTGTAAGTTCAAGCTTTGCATTGTTGACATTACCCTTTTCACTGTGAGCACCGACAACCTCACCAGTTACCTTACCTGTGGATGTTATAGTAACTACATTACGCTCACTATCAGCCACATTAATATTTGCATTCTCCGACCATGCACCATAAACTTTACCAACAGTACCATTTACTTCTACGCTGTTATTTTTAATTGTAACATTAGAGCCATCAGAATTATCCTTAGCACCATAAGCCTCGCCTGTTGTAGAATTAGCCTTCAAGATTACCTTATTTCCTGACAATTCCTTAGCTGTAACACCAGTTGCAGGATCAGTTGTACCCTCACCTAAACCACCGATAGCAGCACCAATGCTCTGATTCTCGTCAACAGTAACTATATTATCCTTGGCAGTACCAGTTTCAGTTACACCACCAACTATAGTTGCATTAGCATTGGAGATAGATGCCGTAACAGTATTTCCTTCAGCAGTTCCAGCCTTAGACTTACCACCAGCAACCTCTGCATCATCTGATAAGCTACCACCACTCTTAAAGACTACACTATTATTTTTAATGGTTCCATTTGCACCATCACCCTGACCACCATAGACCTTGCCTGAGAGTGTACCTTTTTCGAGAGTTACAGCAGCCCCAGTCACATCACCATTTTGACTATATCCGCCAGTAGCACCTATTACAGTCGCTGCTATGCTTGGATTAGACTGATTGATGATGACACCGCCACCAGTTACATTACCATCTACTGTATAGCCAGCTTGAGCATTAGTTACAGTACCGCCATCTATTGTGAGCGTACTTCCATTAAGATTTCCCTTGGTAGTATATACAGCATAAGCAGCGTCTGTAATAAAACCATCAGTAATTTTTACATTATTATCCTTCAGAATAGTAGTATTAGTAGAAGCTAAATCTTTTACACCAAAAACGCTGCCAATTTTACCACCATTGATAGTCACTGAATTGTCATGTATATTATTTGATATACCATTAACTGTATTCTGTGCACCAATTGCCTCGCCAATATTAGTTGAGTATACATTTTCACCAGTAACAGGGTCTGCACCAGTAACACTACCAGATACAGTTACCTTATTATTAGCAATTACTGTATTTGTACCGCCACTTTCGCCACCAATTATTTTAGCCAAGCCTGTACTCTTAGTTACAGTTATAGTATTTGAATTAGCATTTCCGCTGACACTCTTACCACCATAAATTTCGCCATCTACCTTACCGCCATCTATGGTTACACTAGAATTCTTAACCTCACCACTGCCAGCACTATAGCCACCTATTGCACCATTTACATAGGTATTAACAGCAGTATTTTCTGAAATATCTACTTTACCACCGTTTACACCGCCGTTTACACTATAGCCACCATACGCATCTTTTACACTGCCACCCTCGATAGTCAGTCTACTATTAGTCAGATTTGCATTTTCACTATATACACCATAAGCACCGCTAGTTACCTTACCGTCTTTAATAGTAACTTTATTATCTGCTATTGTTACATTATTATTTACGGAAGTCGCATTATCCTTGACACCATAAACATACCCAACAACACCGCCGTTAATGGTTACATAGTTATCATTTATGTTGTTATTTGCATTGTCGTTAGCCTTATTCTCTGCTGCGATAACAGTTCCAACATTAGCATCAGAGGTCCCTGCCGCAGCATTATATGTACCCGTAACAGTTACATAGTTATTGTTAAGCTCTGCTGCAGCACTGTCAGTTTTACCACCTGTTACCGTTCCGTTTACGTTACCTTTATTTATTGTCACATAAGAGTTAGATACTGCATTATTTTTACTATATGCACCATAAGCAGCCCCTGATACCGTACCACCGGAAATTGCAATTCCATTATTATTAACGCTTGCTGTAACTGTAGACTCGTCAAATGCACCATATACCGTATCAACAGAACCTTTTTTTATGTCTGCGGTATTATATGTCAGACTTGTCGCACCTGTTCCACCATGGGCACCATAAATAATCCCATTAACAGTCGTACCATTAAGAGTTACCTTGTTATGATCTGCAGTTCCAGAGGTGGTTGAGGCACCATAAACATCCTGCTTAACTGTACCACCTGTTAAGCTCACATCATTGTTTTGTGCATTTCCAGCTGTTGTATAACCACCATATACATTTTGGTCTACAGTACCGTTGTCAGTCACACTTACAGATGAATAAGACACATCCTTATCTGTCTTACCACCATAGACGTTACCTTCAACCTCGCCACCTTTGATAGTAGCTCTATTGCCATCTGTCAAGCTCGTACCTGTCAGATTAGAATTTGTACTGTACGCACCATATACATCATTTGCTACCTTACCAGCTTTTACTTCCGCCTGATTGTTTGATACAGTCGCACCAGCAGTTTCGTCCTTTGCACCATAAAGAGCCTTTATCTCACCATTGTTTATGGTTGCCTTATTACCAGTCAGCGAACTTACTGTATCTGTGCCATGACCGGCAACAACATCTGTTATCAGACTTGTATTCGCACCATTAATTGTTACCTTGTTGCTGTCAACTGTACCTGCTGCTGCTTCACCACCTGTTACGGTAGAATTAGTTGCATCTGTTACAATAACCTCGTTTGAATTTGTGGTACTTGCAGAAGTCGCACTTGTTACCGTTCCGCCGATTATGGTTGCATTAGATACACCTGCCACAGTAACCTTATTACTATCTACTGAACCTGACTCAGATTTACCACCGATAATCTCTATAGCAGTTGTACCATTGCTCATGACACCCGAAGCAATATTTATAGTATTATTGCTGGCACCGTTCTCACCTTCGCCACCGTAGACATTTCCGTTTATCTTGCCACCTGTAGCATTTACAGAGCCATACTGGACTTCACCGTTATCTGCCTTGCCTCCCCAAATATCCTTTTCTGCTGTACCGCCATTGATAGTGACTTTATTTTCTGTACTGCTACCACCTATTACATCAGAATTTTTACTGTACGCACCATAAATATTATCTTTAGCTGTACCACCAGATAAGTTAACCTTGTTATTAGATATTGCAGTAGCGTTAGTAGACTCATCCTTTGCACCATACAGTTTTCCTACTGTACCAGCTTTAACAGTTAACTCATTAGAAGATACACTGCTTACTGTTCCAGTGCCATGACCAGCAACAATATCCTTTGTCAGATTTGTATTCGAGCCATTAATTGTTACCTTATTGCTGTTAACAGTGCCGGCTGCTGCTTCACCACCTGTTACAGTGGAATCTGTTGCATTTGTTACATTTACTATATTGCTATTCGCATTAGTAGCACTTTTACCACCAATTATCTCAGTCTTAGTAGCATTTACTAATTTATCGCCTAAAACATTAACAGTATTGTTGCTAGCACCAGTTTTACCATCACCACCATACAGCTTATATTCCTTAGTTTCACCGTTCTTTAAAGATATTTCGCCATTGATGGTTAATGTATTACCATCTGCTGTACCATTGCTGTCTGTACGACCGCCGAACAAATCAAGGCTATCACCTGTACCTGTTGGCACTGCAAATTCCACATTACCGTTGATGATGGTCTGGTTAGTATTCGCATTACCTTTAGCAGTATAACCACCAGCTAAGTTTTTAATTCCTGTATAAGTACCAGCAGTACCAATTGTCACTGTACTATTGGTTACATCACCACTGCCACTGGAAATATGACCACCATAAATATCTGCATTGGAAATAATGCCATTGTTAATAGTAACATGACCATTATCTACAGCACCTACGCCAGATGCACCAACAATTTCACCATCATCAATCGTAGTACCGCCATTGATAGTCACATCACCGTAGGCTGCACTTCCACTATTTGATTTTGCACCATATACGTTACCACCGATACTGCCGCCAGACAGCTCTGTGTTACCGTAAGAAGCATTACCTGTACCAGAATTTACACCATAAACATCGCCAGTTACAGAACTATTCGTTATGTTTACAACATTATATTTATCTGCTGTTCCACTAATAGATGATTTGTTGCTATGAGCACCATAAACACTGCCAGCTACAGTCGTTTCAGTTAGGGTTACAGCATTACCACCACCAGAGAGAGTTGCACCTGTGCCAGTGTTGTTATCCTTCAAACCATATACATTGTTTACACTGCCACCAGTCATAGTAACAATATTGCCAGATGCACTAGAAGCATTTGTACTTTCGCCTGCCACTACATCATTTGCAACAGTGTTATCAGTGATAGTAACACTATTTCCTGCTACTTCTTTATCAGTGCCACCGCCATGACCACCAATAATATTGACGTTAGTGGCATTATTTACAGTAACGGTATTATTTAATGCATTACCTGTAGTTGTTGTACCACCTTTTATAGTCGCATTGGTTACACCAGTCACATCAACTTCATTACTATTAACATTACCAGTTTCAGCGTGACCACCGATTAAATTAACCGTAGAAGTATTTTCTAATACACCAGTGCCAATTTCGATTTTGTTATTGCTAGCACCTTTAGTGCCATCACCACCGTACACATCTCCTGTAATCTTGGCATCGGAATTTGTTGCTGTTACAGAAGCATACTCTACTGTACCGCCAGTCTTTCCACCATATACACTACCAACAGAGCCACCATTAATATTCACTCTATTTCCATCAGTCAGACTAGTACCAGATAAGTTTTCCGAACCTGTTCCTTTTGCACCATAAACAACCCCTGAAACTACCGTTGTTCCAGAGATATTTACTTCGTTGTTTGATGCAGTACCTGCTGTTGACTGACCACCAATAACATTTCCTGATACTGTATCATTCTCCAAAGTAACTTTATTGCTAGAAACATTTTTACCATCACCGCCAATAACCTGCGTTAAAGTCGAATTATTAGCAGTTACAGAAGCATACTCTACTTTACCGCCTGTACTTTGACCACCATAAGCATTAGCTACTGTGCCACCATTAATTATAATCCTGTTACCATCGTCAACACTTGTACCAGTTAAGGTTGCACCATTTGTTCCCTTAGCACCATAAACATTAGTAATATTGGCTGCCGCACCTGATTCAATAGTTACGGTGTTATTAGAAAGAGTGGCATTATCACCTTCGGCACCGATTACATCGGTTATCTTGCCAGTTACATCCTCTTTTATGGTTACACTATTACCTGTTACACTACTTGAATTGTCACCTTTAGCACCAACCACAGTAGCAGCAATGGTCTTATCTTCACCAGAATCACCTTTTATGGTAACGGTATTGCCAGATACTTCTTTACCTGAACCGCCACCTTCTGCACCTGTTACATTATTTAACCCATAGCTTTCATTGATGGTAATATGGTTATCTTTGGCATTACCATTACCAGTTTCAGCACCCTTAAGATTAATAGTTGCTGATGATGTGTTTTTTATTATTACACCTTTATCTGGACTTTCATCTGAAACCTTGCTAACAATATTATTACCAGATACATCACCTTTTGTAGCCTGTCCAGCGATAATATTGACTGTTTTTGCATCAGATGTATCTATGCTATTCGCTACAACATTTATGGTATTTCCAGTTGCACCAGCAGTACCACTACCGCCATAGACATTTACGGTATCACCTTTCAGAATTGTACCAGCATTAAGTGTAACAGTATTAGTTTTAGCTGCTCCATCAGTTGCCTGACCACCGATAATATTGATGGTCTCACCAGTCTTGCCTACTGTACCTGCTACAGTTACAGTATTAGTTTCTGCAGTTTTACCCTTACCACCAGTTACATTTTTCTCTGCCGTTCCAGAAATAGTAACGGTATTATTGTCTGCTTTTACTGCAGCCTCACCACCAACTACATCACCTTTTACTGTACCTGAAACAGTGGCATTGTTATACTCAGCATTACCATGGTCAGACAAACCACCTGTAGCATTACCATTGACAGTGCCAGAAACAGTAGCATCGTTATGCTTAGCGTTACCATGGTCAGACAAACCACCTGTAGCATTTCCAGTAACTGTGCCATTAACAATAACTTTGTTGTTCTGTGCGTGGTCTGTAGATTCCGAACCAATAGCGTGACCACCAGTTACACTACCTGTTAATGTCTGACCGGTTGCTATAGTTGATATATTACCAGAATCTACTGATGTACCGCCTGCTGACTTTCCTTCACCAGCAGTTACCGAACCTTCAACATTAGTATTTACAGAAACCTGATTCGTCTTTGCTTCAGTAGTAGCCTTACCACCGTAGATGGTGATTGTTCCTGATGTTGTTCCTGCAATGGAAACCATATTATTATTAGCAGAACCATTACCTGCTGATCCACCATAAATACTATTAACGTTCAATGTGCCATTCGATACAACAATCCTATTCTCACCTGCAGAACCATTATCTGCTCGACCACCATAAATACTGTCAACTGTTACATTGCCACTAATATTTACAGTATTTGTATTTACTATTCCCTTTGGAGAACCATATTCGTATGACATATTAGAAAAACCGCCATACAGATATCCTGTTGCAGAATTAACAGTACCATTTATATTCAAGTTATTAAGTTCCGCACTACCACCACTAGTATATCCACCTGCCAAGAAATCACTTGTTGTAGTTTTACCCGATAGTAATGTAAGTGTATTATTTTTTACACCACCTGCAATTGAAAAGCCACCATATATATTTACTGCCTCATTACCATTGATATCAGCAGTTGCTCCAGTTACGTTTGTTTCCGTTCCACTTTCACTTAAATTATATTTAGCAGCCCATGATCCGTTTCCAGTTATTGGATCATCAAAAGATCCAGTACCTTCTTCTGCCGCCAAAACCTGAGGCACATTCACCACACACAAAGAAGCCGCCAGCACACCAACAGCCACCCTGCGACTCAGCTTCCTATATTCACTCTCACTCATATTCCCGAACAACTTTCTTTTTGCCTGACTCATTTTCATCAATCCCTTGTCCAATGTTGTCAAATTTGCCACGTTCAAACTTCCTTGTCAACGTTTTACTCTATCTATGCCATGCGGGCCTTCAGCCCATCAGCCAATAAATATATAGCCAACTGGTTTAAGCTTACGCCTTCGTCTTCTGCTGTCATAGCCAATCTTCGATGCAAGCTCTTTGGTATTGACAAATTAAACTTTCCCGTAAATGTTGTTTCGCTTTGTGGCTCTGGTATAGCTTCACCATCTTCAAGAGCAACTTCCAACCAACATTTCTTAGCGTCATCAATCATCAACATAATCTCTTCTCTAGTTTCAGCCTGAGTGATACACCCTTTCAAATCTGGGATCCATCCCACATATCCGCCTTCTGGTGATTGCTCTATAACTATGTTGTATGGTAACTTCATGTAATAATCCAAATCCTTAATCATGGTGTTCTCACTCCTCACCTAGTAACTTTATTGCCTGCTTAATATAGACTGCCAAAATATATGGTTCCCTATGCGGAATCGTAATCCTTCTACCGTCAGGATGCTTAAAAGTATGATGACTTGAACCTCCTCTAGGCGTTCTATCAATAAATCCATTTTTTATTAGAATTTTTTCTATTTCTGAAAATCTCACCGTTTGAGGACTATTCTTTATTCGCTCTAATAATTTTTCCAACTGACTCAAGTCATTCACCTCCATGTACTATTATTATACCATAATTTTGTCTAATGTTGTAGTTTTTTCTATATTTTTTTATACTATTTAACTAGGAAAATCTTACCATTTTTTTGTAAGCAAAAAGGCACTGAAATTTCTCCCAATGCCCATCATATCGTTACTTCATATTCTTCAACCATGTATCCATCAAACCAAAGTATTTAGGAATTCGTTCTGCCAACTCCATTGCAAACTGTTCATCATAAGTATGTGTCGTCAAGTTTCTATCCTCAACCATCACCAAAGCCAATTTTACTTCATCATCAGATAAAAGCCCCACAGTCCTGCAATCACGAATTACCTTACGTGGTGAAGCAGCATCGATACCTTCCTGTACGCGCAGATAATCCTTACCACATTTCCATATCAGTTCGTATGAAAACTCAAATCTTTGAATCAATGCATCTCTCTCTACTTCACTATATTCATCCTTTTCTGCGAGCTCAGACAATTTTCTCAATGCTCTTTCTGCTAGCACAAATCGTTCTTTCATCCTTTCCATAGAATTCCCTCCGAATATATTTTTTGACACAACGCTTTTGCTGCCCTGCTCATGTTCACTACATCTACGTTATATATTATTGTTGATTCTTCCAACGCTTCTCTAAACAATGCCACTTTTAAGCTAATATCTTTACTAGATTCCAATGCGATGTCTACATCAGAGCTCTTTCTCTGTTCTCCCCTAGCCCATGAACCAAACAAATAAATTTTTACATCATCATCTTTCCAATAAGATAATGTGAAATTCTTTAGTTCATTAAAATATTTGTTTGTTTTCATGAACATCACTTTCTTTCGTTATTTTTTATTATTATAACGCCTTTTATCAAGAAAATCAATTTCTAAATTACTAAATAAAACTCAAATTGCTGATACAGGCAATAGCCACACATCGCGCTTATATGGCAATATATCCTCTGCCATGCAAGCTACCAGCCCAGACTGTACTTCAAAATTCATTTTCAATTTATCCAACACAGAAAAATTCTTGTCTGGATTTGCAGGATTCTTTCCTTTTTTTATTTCTACAGGGTAAAGTTTCTGGCCATCAATTATCAACAAGTCTATTTCTTTTTTATCCACGTCTCTATAATAGTAAAGCTCTGGTCGTTCTCCAGCATTGTAGTATTGCTTCACAATCTCCGATACTACATAGGTTTCAAAAAAAGCTCCATCCATAGCGCCATTTGCCAGAGTAAATGGGTCTGGCCAACGACAGAGATATGCCGCCAATCCAGTATCCATGAAGTATACTTTTGGTGTTTTTACCAATCTTTTACTTATATTGCTGTAGTATGGATGTAAAATAAATATCACGCCTGAACGCTCCAATATAGCCACCCATGCTTTTGCCGTTGGTGCTGATATCCCCACACCATTGGCTATATCGGAAAATTTCAGCTCCTGTCCCGTTCTTGCTGCCATAAATACAAGAAAATCATAAAATTCATTAAGCTTTCCTACCTGAGATAAATCTTTTATGTCCCTCTCAAGATACGTGTTAATGTAGTCCATATAGTACCGCTTCAATTCTACTGCCTTATTGACATTTGGCTTAGGCATACTGCCTTCGTATATGCGTTCAAATATCTCATTTACATTACGCTTTTTTCTGCTCTCCAATCTCTTACGAAGACTGTCAATATCAAATTTAAGCATATCTGGAGCTGCACCGTCTATCTCTGCGGTAGAAAATCCTGCTAATTCAAATACTGCAACTCTGCCAGCTAAGGAATCAGCTACATCCTTCATCATCAAAAACCGCTGTGAACCAGTCAGCCAGTACATGCCAGCATTATCTTCCCCTTCCAAAGCTTTTTTGTCTACTCTGCGTTTAATTTCCAGAAGAATTGATGGCACTCTCTGAAATTCATCTATTAGAAGTGGTGCTCCATAGCTATCCAAAAATAATTCTGGGTCATTCTCTGCCAGTCTTCGTGCTGCGGGGTCATCCATCGTAACATATCTACGCTCTTTGCCACTGATATGATAAAGCATAGTAGATTTTCCTACCTGACGCTGTCCTGTTACCATAACTACAGGATAAGTCTTACTAGCTTCCAGAATCTTTGATTCTAAGTGACGTTTTATATAATTCATCATGACCACCTCCGAGAAATCTAAAGTCTAACTTTATTTTACTCGTTATTTTATTTTTGTCAATAAGAAAAGACGCTGAGTCGCCCCAACGCCTTAATTTTAGATATGCCAAAGATATTTTTGTTCGCATTGGATTATCATATAACATAACGTTAGAAGAATGGAATCATGATAATGACCATGTACATATTATGTTCCGTGCTCATCCTAATACAGAAATATCTAAATTCATCAATGCTTACAAAAGTGCTAGCTCTAGGCTAATCAAAAAAGATTTTCCAGAGGTAAGACATAAGCTATGGAAGGAAATGTTTTGGTCGAGAAGTTATTGCCTTCTGACAACAGGTGGTGCACCAATAGAGACAATTCGTAAATACATAGAAAGTCAAGGCAGGTGACTATAGTGAATAAAGCATACCGATATAGGCTCTATCCTACAAATGAGCAAAAAATTATATTTGCCAAAACTTTCGGCTGCACTAGGTTCATCTATAATAAAATGCTTAGTGACCGTCTTGAGCACTACCGAGAAACGGGTAAGAAACTAAACAATACTCCAGCCCAGTATAAGGCTGAATTTCCTTGGCTAAAGGAAGTGGACAGTTTGGCTCTGGCAAATGCCCAACTAAATCTGAATAAGGCATATAATAACTTTTGGAATAATCGCAAGCATTTCGGCAAACCTCGCTTCAAATCTAAGAAGACGGGACACAGCTCGTATTCTACAAACAATCAAAAAGGTTCTGTCCGCTTAGAGGGAAACAAGGTAAAATTGCCCAAAGTTGGCTGGGTGAAGTTGCGCCTGCATCGACCACTTATGGAAAATAGCGTAATAAAGACTGTTACTATCAGCAAAACGCCTTCAGGAAAATACTATATTAGTATTTTGGTGGAATATGAAAACCAAATACTCCCCATAATACCGAAGAAATTTCTTGGGCTGGATTTTGCTATGCATGGTCTATATGTTGCTTCAGATGAAGATGATGCTGATTATCCAAACTTCCTGCGTAAAGCTGAAAAAAAATTGGCTAAGGCACAAAGAAAACTATCTAGAAGACAGAAAGGAAGTCATAATCGTGATAAGCAACGATTTAGAGTAGCTGTGCTCCATGAGAAAATTACCAATCAACGCCGAGATTTCTTACACAAGAAAGCCTGCTATCTTGCAGATAGATATGATGCCATCGGTATTGAAGATATTAGCGTCAAAGCGATGGCGAAACACAAGAAAGGCGGCAGGTTCAGTTTTGGCAAGTCCGTAGCGGACAATGGTTGGAATATGTTTACGAGAATGTTAGAATACAAATTAGCATGGCAAGGAAAACAGCTTGTAAAGATAGACAAGTGGTATCCAAGCAGTCAGCTATGTCATGTTTGTGGTTTCCAAAACAATGCAACCAAGGACTTATCAGTAAGAGAATGGTATTGCCCTAAATGTGGCAGTCATCATAACAGAGATAAGAACGCTGCAATAAATATTCGAGAAGTAATTAGGCGAATGTCTGCCTAAAAATAATGTATAAAGTACCGTGGGTCGCACGGGAATCTACGCCTGTGGAGAGTGTGTAAGTCGTCATAGCTCTTCGGAGTCAATGGTGCTGTTCTCGTAGAATCAGGAAGCTCCCGCCTCTATAGGCGGGAGTACGTTCACACACCTTGCAGTAATTCAACTGCACGGCCTGCATTTTGATTGGATTGTGCCAACATAGACTGTGCTGTCTGAGTAAGGATAGATGCCTTAGAAAATTCACAGTATTCCTTTGCCATGTCACTGTCACGTATAACAGATTCTGCTGCTGTAGTGTTCTCTGCCATAGTGGTGATATTCGCATCAGCAAATTCCATGTGATTAATCTGTGAACCGATAAGGGTCTGTGCATCGGTCAGGTACTCAATACCTTTGTCAATAATACCTTTTTCTCCTGGTGAATCCCAGCCTAACAGACGTTCTCTCATCTCCTTGGTCAGAACATTGAAATGCTCTGGTTCATAATTTTCTTTCTTGTAACCATATATCTGATCCATGGAAGTCTGAGGAATGTCTATCTTGATATTGTTACTGGATTCATCAGTATGATGGATTATCAGGCGATTAGCATAAAGATAACGATAGTCCTTTACTACGTTATCCAATACACCATCAGCGATTTTAGCACCCTTTTCTCTAGTTCCAAGATACCCCTTGTCCAGGACAGTATACCTTCTCTTATCATATATAGTTACAGTTCCAGCCTCTGTATCTGATGCCAACAAAAAGTTATGTTTATATACATTCTTTAAGTAATCACCCAAATCTTTATCTATGACTTCAACCAAAGATTTTGCATCTGTAACACCAGATATATCAATAAGTACAGTCTTTATATCCTGTGTTGCTGTACCACTAGCAGGTTTGTCTTTATCCATACCATCAAATCCGTTTACAAACATAACATTTACCCACTGTTCTGCATCAGTAGCACAGTAAAAACGGAAACCTTTTTCATTTAGTTCAGCTGGAATATTAGTTTTACCATCTGTCCACGATTTAAAATCGATAGTATAATGGCGAAGCTCACCATCAGCCGTGGTCATTCTTTGATTATTACCTGCTGCTCCAGAGACTGAAGCATTTATTTGTAATCCAGTAACTTCATCTGCTCCATTTTTTATAAGCTGTGAGAATGATGACATTCTGGAATTCAATAATGTCGAAAATGCTTCGGATACTGTTGCACCACCCTTGACAGCTGTACGTACTACTGCTAAATCTATAGGCGTAGATGAGCTTTGTTTTGTTTCTTTATCCATCGTATTAGATGAGCCAGAGTCTATGAATTCAAAATTTGTAAGATTGCCACCATGCTGTAATGTTTTACCCACATAGGCCTTAATCAATTCATTCGCTTTTTCCTCATCACTTACATTATACGCTGACAAATCTAAATCCCAATGTGCTGTTTCACCATTTTTTCCCTTCTGTTCATTCACAATATTAGAAGCTCCCAATGGTGTAGTTCCTGTATAGACTACTGTAGTTGGTGTACCCGGTGTGCCTGGTGTACCTGGAATTTCTGGTTTAGCTGGCACCGTTGCAAAGCCATCACTAATTCCATAACCATTAGCATAAGTACCTGTACTATTAGCAGTCATAGTCATATTACCATCAGCAAACGTAATTGTCATACCATTACGATTCCACGTACCAGTATAATTTTTACCAACAGTATAATACTGATCACTACCTGCTCCAGAATCTGAGTAAGTAGGGGACGGACCTGCATCACCATCTACAAATTTTACATATGTATTACTACCATAACCTTTTATGGTGATACCAGTTCCTGATGCCACACTTGATACGCCTGTCACTGTAAGTGTAGCTTTCTTAGCTGGAGAATCCTCTACCCATGATTTGTCTTCTATCCATACTTTAGAATCTTCATCTCCGGGAACCTTATATACCCAATGACCACCTGTTACTGCATAATGCCCTGACGCATCAGCACCTCCTGATAAAGACTTATTCCTAATCCAGAGGCACTTGCCCCAGTACGTTCTGGAACTGCTGGTATAGTTGGAGTTCCAGAAGTACCACCAACCGTAACAGTATCTGTGCGTCCATATAATATAATAGGTGCTACATTATAATTGCCTGTTGAATTTGTAGAATTTCCATCCCATCCCGAAGGAATTTTTGCCTTTAATTTGACTACAGAACCTTCCACCGTTGCTTCATATCCAGTAGAACCAATCGCTGCCTTTATTGCATTTGCAACATCTGCTGTAGAATTGCATCCAGATATATCAATTTTATTTATTCCATAGTCAGTATACCGTCTACTAGTATCAGTCGTCAATACATAGCTGCGAGTTCCCCAAGGAGAGCGAACCGAAAAAGAAACATTATCTAAACATGTTTTGTTAGATGATGAAAATGTACCATAACCACTAGATAATCTATTTTGATCTCATTTGGAGTATGTTCTGTACCACCATGAAAATAGTCTGTACCACGTGGATCTGTATTAGTGATATTACCAACCAGCGATGTAATATCTCCTCGATTAGTTTTATACCCATCATAATCAACAGTTTCTCTTGGATCTTCTGCTTTAGATGCGCCAAATGTAGCAAATGGACCCTGCTGACCGTCAAGACTACCATGAACAGCATTTTTTATAAGCCCCAGCTTATCACTGCCCTCTACAGGTACAGCCTCATCCAATAGTACTCTGCGTTGATACCACTGCTT